AGGGGAGGGTGAGGTTGGCCATGAGCTGCCCGTGGCTCTGTGTAATCCTCCGCCTGTGTGACTTGTCTTTCAGGTGCTCGTCTCAAACGGCTGATTCCAGTCAAGTGCAAAACCATGAAGAAGGAGTTTCCAAGTATCTTGAGGTTCATTACAATCTGTGATTACACCAACCCTTGCACCAAAAAATGGTTCTGGACGAGACTGGCAAAATCTCTTATGCTGCCGTGATGCCTTTTGAATCTCCTGGCTCTGCCTTCACACCGGGGTGTCGTTCACACGGGGTCTTCAGAACCTGGATCCTTGCAATCGGTGTTTGGAGCCTGCAACCAGGAGTAAAGAATTTTCTCTAGCACTTTTTAATAATTTGGAAATAAAGCAACTGTGTGGGTGTTCCTGCTCGAGTCAGTGAGCAACGGCATCCAGCATTTTGTGTAGTAAGCACATCCACTGAAAATACATTAAATATACATTTAAAGACTGAGTGTCTAATACAAGAAAGCTCTGTTGTAAGCATTTAATAAGACCTCAGAGCCTCAGACTGCAGGCTTTCTCAAAACAACTATTTCCTATTGTTTTAAAAGCTGTTTAATGGCCCCAGTAACATTTAGAGTTAGTGGATTTCTTTAAATTCCGGTGAAATCCCATGACTAGTTTGGTGATTTGCAGGAACTGAGGTTTCAGCCTTTGTTTCCTGTGTTTTCTCAGGGTAGAGAGTCTCCTTCAGTCGTTGTTTTGAGAAAAGCACAAACGTATTTTAATCGTTAAAGTGCTGCAAAAAAAATGAACGGTTCTCCTGTTCTTAGCAATATGCAAAATTAGAGCAATTATCCTTGAAATTATTAACTAATGCAGAATTACTGAGCTTGGTTTATTTCCTGTGGATATTTTCCTTAACTTACATCACAATATTCCTGTCCTGTCTTCATTTACAGGGTGAATCCCTTGTCAGTAGCATTTTCTGAGGCAGTCCCTTGGATTTGCCTTAAGTGGTTATTTTTTGCTCATTGAAAGCAAGAAGTGGAAGCAAAGACACACTCTTGTACCTGTCGGTCACGTCTGTCTGTGCTCAGGTCCCATTTGATTAAGTGCCCTTATACCAACATTTTATATTCACAGACCTTATGAAATGTTTACAATAGAACCTTCCTTTAGTAGAAATTCAGTCTTAAAATAGATATTTTCAGTGAAAGTCCTTACTTTTCCTCACTTTGGGAGACAATCACAAAGAATCATCTAATGGTTTGGGTTGGAAGGGACCTTAAAGCTCATCTAGTCCAACTCCCCTGCAGTGAGCTGGGACATCTTTACTAGAGCAGGTTGCTCAGAACCCATCCAGCCTGACCTTGAATATCTCCAGGGATGGGGTCTCCACGACCTCTCTGGGCAACCTGTTCCAATGATCCACCACCCTCATGTTGAAGAACTTTTTCCTGATATCCAACCTAAATCTGCCCTTGTCTAGTTTAAAACCATTACCCCTCATCCTATTGCTCCCTGCCCTTGTGAACAGTTCTTCCCCAGCTTCTTGGAGGCACCTTCAGGTACTGGAAGGTCACTAGAAGGTCTCCCTGGAGCCTTCTCTTCTCCAGGCTGAACAGCCCCAACTCTCTCAGGCTGTCCTCATAGGAGACATGCTCCAGCCCTCGGATCATTTTTGTGGTCTCCTCTGGACAAGCTCCAACAGGTACATGTCCTTCTTGTGTTGAGGGCTCCAAAGCTGGATGAAATATTCCAGGTGAGGTCTCACCAGAGCAGAGTAGAGGGGTGTCAGCAAAGCGTGGGATGCTGTTGCTCATTGACTTGACCAGGAACTGTGCACCTCAGTGGGTCCAGGTCTTAAACTGCTTCACCTTTAAGAACCTTCCAAAACAAATGAGTTTTTGGGATGCCTCAAAGGTACAGGGATAAATAACTGAACAAAGGGTGCGTTAAATTGTCAGCTGGGCTGTTTAAAATGGAAAGGCTGCGGTGACGTTCATAGGAAAGAGCGTATTTTATAACCCCCATGATCACTGTTGGATTTCTGTGACTAAGGCTCCAAGCAACGTAGACACTGCTCTGCTCCTTAGACTTCACCTTGAATCCTGCAGGGACTGGATCTTCCCAGTTCTCAGTGCTCAGGGGTGGGGGCAAGAGTTCTGCCCAAAGTAGCGTTTTAAAGCAGCGTGTTGGTGAATTAAACATGTTTTCAGTAAATATTTACTTTCTAAATTGGAAAGAAGCATCTTGCTTATGTAGCTGCAGTTGCTTGAACTCTTCTACTTTGTTCATTACTTCAGCCACTGACTCATGTTGATTTTATGGCTTTAATGTTTTACTAGTTTACATTTTTAAGGTTGCATCTGGATGTGATGGGTTTTGGAGGTTTTTTGAAGGATTTGTTTTAAAGCATTACCAGGGCTGAGGTGCAGACAGACTTTCCCTCGCCCACCCTGTCAATGGATGGTCCCTTACCAGGGGGTGCTGCAAAGTCCTGTCATAGAGTCACAGAATGGTTTGGGTTGGAAGGGACCTTAAAGGTCATCCAGTTCCAACCCCCCTGCCAGCAGCAGAGACACCTTCCACTAGACCAGGTTGCTCAAAGCCTCATCCAACCTGGCCTTCAACACTTCCAGGGAGGAGCAGCCACAGCTTCTCTGGGCAACCTGTTCCAGTGTCTCACCACCCTCACAGCAAAGAATTTCTTCCTCAGATCTCATCTCAATCTCCCCTCTTCCAGTTTAAAGCCATCACCCCTTTATGATGAACAGGGAGTTCTGTCACTCCCTGCCCTTGTCCAAAGTCCCTCCCCAGCCTTCCTGCCCACGCTGCTGCTGGTTCCTCCTGGTTGAGAGCAGCTGGCCCTTGACCTGAACATGGTGAAGCTTTTGTGCCAAGGGGACGTTTGCACCTTTCTCTCTTGCTAGAACAAGTGAGAATTCTGTGGGCATGGAAGGAGAAAAGTGAAGGTGATAATGATTTTCTAAGTAGTTCATGTCCTATTGCCCTCAGGCCTCTCCTGCAGGAGCAGAGACAGCTGCTTGCCTCGGGGTTTCTGCATGATTGTTAAATGTTAATTACTGAAGAGTTTCTGGAGGCTGCTTGATCCTCAGGCGCTGCTGGGGCTCGGTAAATTCTCATACTCTGGAGTGTCTATAAACATTAATTTTGGGTCATTACTGGCAGGATCAAACCAGATTCCTCTTGTTCCAAGAGCTGAAAGGACTCTGGGGGAGCAGAGGCAGAGGAGGCCGAGCTGCAGGCACTAGAGGGAGGCAATGGCCCATCGGTGCTGGCACCCTGCGAGGGATCCTGCCTGCTGGGTGGGATGGACAAGACATGAACCCGCTGTCACAGCTGGGCTCTGGCATGGAGATAAGAGGAGTGGGTTTGCTTCCTCTGCCCCTTGCACCTTCTTCTCAGGAGGCTATAGCAAAAATAGTGAGAATTCGGGCAGATTGAACCCGGTGCAGCATCTTCTGTGCAAATCCTGACGGGTGGTTTGGGACTCAGGATATTGCAAATGAGGAAAAAAACGATAGCAGCAAAAATAGGAATGTTTGTAGGAGATGATCTGGTGATGGCCAGACAGGGAAAGTGCTGCTTCTGGAAGGGAAAGCGAAAACAAGAGCTGAATTTCCAAGTCTTCTGATTTGTAGTAGATAGAAGCAATATTGCAGTTAATTGTGAAGATGTCAGTGCTTTGGCAGGATCTCATTGTCACCTCGCTCGCTGTGCCCTGGCCCTTCTCTCTGCCTGGCTCGGGTGCTGGGCCAGATTTACTATTGTTGGACTGTTGCTTTTTTGCCAACAATTACAATTGTCTTGCAGGCTAAAATAATGATTTTGGGGTAAAGTGAGGAAACAGCCCTAAAATATAAAATACATGCTTTAAATAAGTGTTCTCTTCTGTGTAAAAACCAAGAGTTGATGCACTTTTGACACTGTCATATCTGTCTTGTCACGGTAACTTGCTGGAGGGTGACAGCTATGAATGGTATCACATCTAGTTATTGTAAACACATTGCAGTGGCAATTGTGGTTCTCTTCCCCTCTTCCGTGCTCAGTGGAAGGTCAAAATTTTAAATACCTTTAAAAAAGGAATTTACAAAATCATGTTTTTATTTTTTTAAAATTTTGTTTCTTTTGCTCACTGAAATTGTCCCAGTTGAATCTGTCAGGACCAAATCATTTATTTTTATAGATATACATATATATTTACATTACTTGCTCTCTTGATACAAATCTCTGGAAAAGCGTGTGTGTTTTATAGCCATTCTGAAAATAGTCAATGATTCTGTGGGGTTTTTTTTCCTCCTCAAAAAAATGAACTTTTGCTACTTGTGAAAACATTTTAAAATAAAGAGTTAACACCCAGCAGGACGAATCTCCTCCTTGAGCATCGGAGAATAAATATTCGGTCTTAAAATGAAGTGTTGGTGAGAATTGATACGGGTTCGTTCTTCTTTGGTTTCATGTTTTGCTTAAACAGGTTCCTCAGTGGAGGTTTTTGGCCGTGCCTGGAAGAGGGAAGGAGAGAGAAATGTGTCATGTCAGGAGGAAAATTGTCAAGGACTCGTACTCCAGACACGTGTGGTTCTTCTCCAGGTCTCATTCTGGGCTTTGTAGTCAATCTCACCATGCTGGCCTTGCTTCAGCCGTGGTGCCCACCAGGCTGGAGGAGACAGCGAGAGCTTCTGCACTCTGCCCCCAGCACGGAGGGACGCTGGGCGGTGAGCTCCTACTCTACATCCTTTCTAGAAGCCCTGGCAGGAGATACGTGGCTGTGCAGTGATCTGGAGGGGTTTGCCAGCTCTATTTCCTGTGCCTCGCAGTCAGGCCAAGCCAGGGAGATAATGTACAAACCCAGCAGCTGTTGGGCCAAGGCCCTGCCACAGGAAAAGATGAAGGATCACTGAACCACGGAAGTGTTGGTTGGAAGGAATTTCTGGAGGTCAAGGCTGAGCTGCGTTTCACAACAGGAGGGGCTGTAGGCTCAGCTGCTTGCAGGACAACACTCCCTATGGAGCATATGAAGTAATGTCTTTGCTATGGCTGCTATGAGTGAACATATGGACAGTGAGATGGAAACCAGCCCTGAAAGTATTCTAGATGGAAATCGCTGTCGAGAGCAGCCTGCCAGGAGAGTCCTGCTCCCAGAGGAGCTGGTGTCCCATCCCCTTCACTGCAGCTTTACCCCACCTGCCTCTTTGAAAGGTGTCCCTGCTCATGGCAGGGGGGT